AAATCAAATTATACAGACAGATTAGTTAAATGTTTTCTGTCTAATGAAACCCAGCAGATTGCCTAGAAGGATGGACATAAATAGAAAGTACATGGGGGAAGTTTGGAGGAAGGTAGGGTGGGAGGTGAAAAAGAAGTATACAAGGGAGGAAGGGAGGGAAAGGGAATTACAAAGAGGAGGGTAGGACATAGGAAGGACACAGCAATTTAATAGAATGCTGACCAGAATCTGCATATAAGAAATATTAAAACTATCTGGATTTTACCATGCCATATGTATCCCTATCCATAGAAAATAGTCAGATTACCTCCAGTTTTTTACTTTAGTTTTCTTCACCTACATGTTTACTTTGTGTTGTTGACTTTGTTGTAATCCTTCATACTGAAGATGTCATCTGGCCTGCTCCTGTTTGGATATGACACCATCCTGGAGAGAAATAATTGCTGTGCTGCTGCCACCAACACCTTTGTTTATAGATGTTGGAGCTCTGCCTGCTTTTCAGTGTAGTCCTGTTTCTCTGACTGAAACTGGCTGGATGTGCTCTCTTCATCCTCTGACATGGGAGCTGGCTCAGAGCTTGTCTGCCTGGCTGGGGCCGCCTGCGGAGCTGGTTAACAGTTGCCTTTTGCATGTCTGCTTCTTTCTGTATGTCTGCTTCTGACTCCTCGACAAATGGCCGCTCACACTGAGTCTAGTTCTGCTGGAGGTTTCTTCTGTGAAAAGGGAGTTTTTCCTCTCCACTGTTGCTAAAAGCATGCTTAGTTTGAGGGATTGCCTTCGAGTCAATGAGTCGATGCATCTGGTTTCCCTTAGATAGAAAACTTTCAATCAATTTGACTGTATGATCTGGTTGAATTGTCAAGTGCCTTGAGATGACATTCGGCCACTACTGGGTTTGTTGAGCTCACAGGTGCAAACACGCAAAATAAACACAGAGGCACTGATCCAGAAATAAATAAACAGAATTTGTGAATACTTCAGGAAAATGGATTTAGCTTTCACTTGTGAGCTTTGACTGACTTAAATTGGAATACCACAAATTTCCAGAGTTGTTGCCAAGACAGACTGACTCTAAAACAACTGACAGGAGGGCCTGAGTGGGTTGGTGGTTTGTCTCTTAAGAAGAAGGTCAAGGGTACCAATGCCAGCCAGGGGATTTTTATGTTTTTTTTCCCAGGCTTATATTCTGTTTTCCCTGAGGCCACAGTTTTCCCCTTCACAGCTCTAAGACATGCATGTTAGGGCAATGGGAAGCTAGAAATTCTTCTTAGGTGTGTTTATTTGTAGATTGTATTCTGCTCCATCTATGTCTATCTTTTTAAAAAGTACCCTGCTCCTCAGCTGTCAGACATTCAGAGATAAAGACCAGCCAACCAGAACCTAAACAGATCTAAGGAGGTTCAGTGATGGTTGGAAATTTCTTGGATGTTAATGGTTTACAGTATGCTGAGATTTGCTTAACATACTGTTCTTCTAAAAGGGCCTTTAAATTATAGAACTGAACCAAAATCTACAACTCCTTGAATAAAACCTTATTATATAAGTTGCATTTAATTTCTTTTTAAGATTAATTAAACATTTTTAGATTCAATTGCACAATGTACATTATTTTGATGTGCTAGCATCTCTGTTTTCAGAATTGAATCCCTACATTATTGGAACCGGGATGTTTAAAGTACAGCTGTCCGAATGATTTTGTGATGAGGAAAGCATGTTAGGAATGTAAACTTTTTAAATATATTTCATATATTTTCTATTCAGAATGTAGTGGTCAGCATTTAACGCTTTCACAGCTGCAACCTGGGTGCGCTTCTTGGTCAGGGAAATTGTCTCTTGGGGAGCATTGGCCTAGTGGTTAGAGTAGTACGCTTGTATTCTGAGAAGGTTGCAAGTACCTGGTTAGATCCCCAATGCCTGCACTCTGGGTCCCTGAGAAAGACCCTTAACCCAACACTGCTCCCTGTGTGCCGCACAATGGCAGCCCACTGCACCCCAAGGCGATGGGTCAAATGCAGAGGAGAGATCAACAAAGTTCTATTATTGTTATTCATCTCAGTTGTTTGTTAAAATAAAGAAAAATAATACAGAGTTCTAGCAATATTAAAAAATATTTATGGAATATGCTTTTATTATTTTCCAGACCTGATTGGGTATGGAATGATGTTGATTTTCACAAATATTTTACTTCTTAAGCGTTACAAAATTATGAAAAAGCTCAGATGTTTTTTTCTCATATATGTAACGATTTTTGTCTTTAACATGTTTCTTAATGAGCAAAAGACTGATTTATTGTTGTTGAAACCTGAAGTTCAAATCATTTTAAATATCTAAAAAAGTAAATGCAAATTGGACATAATTCCATTGATTGGAGTAAACAAAGCCGCAAAAGTAAACTTGGTGTGGTCATATGTTTACATTATGCTTGAAATGAACAGAGGTAGCAAACTAACATGGGCAACAGATCTGGAATGGAGGAAGGTTTTAATAAATGAGTTGCAAATTTTACAAACTTTATCATGTCAGCTAGTATTAACGATGGTTGTGCAGGTCATGAGAACCATATTTATTTTTCATGCTTGGATTAAGGGTAGAAGGCTGGCAGCAAAACATCTGGATTTATGTGAGGTAAGTATCAGATTTAAATGTTAGAACTTATTTGATAATTGTTGCTCCCTTTTCCTTAAGTTGATTGAAATGTTGCTGTTTCCATCTAGCCCTTCTAAAGCTGTACTTTAAACAACATAGAAATACTGTAAGTAGATAAAAGGACATCTTCAGACACCACCAACCCTTGTTATGAGACTGGATCATGATTTAATTTTTGTTGCACAGATCAAGTACAGACATCAGGCAAATGCCTAACAGTTTTTTTTTCCCAGGGGAAAATGTTAGTGTTTTTAATCTTCCTTTTCCTACGAATAAATAAGATTACTGGAATGGTCTTTATGTCGGGCTAAGGCAGTGTTTATTTAATCAAACTTTACAATTGTTTTAAATGATGCTTCACGCCAACTAACTCATGCAAAGACACCAGAACATGATCTTGTTTTGCAACACTTTGGTTAGCCCTTTTATTTGTTTTTAATTGGTAACCTTGTCTCACCCCTCAGTGTTTTTCTGACCAGATTGAAATGCTAGAGTCTTATCAGGTGATCCTAGTGCTATTGTATTTATTTTTGATTGAACTAGCAGTTTTTTTGTTGTTGTTTTGATAGTTTTCATTAGTGTAGAGAAGTATGGTATATTTAGATATTTGTGAAATGTTTTAAAAAGTAAGTTTGTTATTTATTGTATCACATTTCTTTTTTTTGTAAATTGGACCTTGATTGGATCGAACACAGACACTCAATAGAACATAGAACAAAATGACGCACTGACAGAATACACATTCAAATATTAGCCATTACTTCCTGTGTAGTCTAGACAAATAAAAAACAGGCTGAATTTGAATCATGGTTTAGAAACCAAAAAAATAAAAAATAAATAAAACCTACACAAACATTTTCAGAGCATTTAAGAAAACTGCATCTCTGCTTTATTTTTTTTTTAAATGGAGGTCATCCATGTTGATCTGGATGCATAGATAGAATTAAGTAGACCTTTTTTGTGTTAACATATTTTAGACCCAGCTAATAATCAAAATCCAAGTTTGTTAAGTAGCACATTTAAAATGGAAATATTTCCCTTATCCTAACGAACAACAGTTAACTTTGTGGCTTGGAGGCAAATTTAAACTTGAAACTATTTCACCTGCAGAACAAACAATTTAGATGCTACTATTCTACTGTTATTAGTCAATTTTTGAGATTATTTCTCTAACAAAATCTCATCATTATTATATGTTTCCATACTCTTTTTTATTTTATAACCTAATAATATTAGAAATATATCACAGTTTAATTATTAAATTCAAAGCAAACACCTGAGATATTAGAAATTATTGTAAGAATTTAAATTACAAGATTAACCACACCAGGTTTTAAGCTTTAGTAATTTATTGTAAATGTGTTTTACATAGTAGAACAAAGCAAACCATATATAAGAATTTGAGTCAATTCTTATTTTTAGTGTGTAAAACCACATTTTGTAAACAACTCAGGAGATATTTTCCAGATACAATATGAAATACCTTTTCTTCACCTGCTGAAAGAACTTTAAGAAAGTAAGTGCTTGCAAAAATAGATTGGCAGGTACATTTCTTTCCAGATTTCTGGCTGTATCCTTAAACACTCGCTGAGCCACTTTAACATATGTGGTCTAGGAACACCAGCAAAAAAATATTTTCCATATCTTACAGTATACATATATATATATATTTATATTTAAAATGCTATATACAGTTTTTTTTTACATTTTTAAAAAATATTAATCACAGATATCATTACAAGCAGTTGTCCTTTCTGATGCATGTACAGTATTTACATACATTCTTGGGATCACATCTAATACACATTCAGAAAAAATTGTGTGTCTTCTGTTTGCATGGAAGGAATGCCTGACAGTAAGTACACTTTCTACATACAGCATCAAGGGCCACGTGCTGAACATTCAAAATGATCAGTCAATCACTTAGAAAATAAGCATAAAACTTGTTTTCCTTTACATTTCAACAATCATTTTCTTGTTCAGTTCTATTAAAGAATGTTAACACTTGTCACATTTATGGCAAAGAAGTGGACGTATGCCTTCCTGTGGCACATTTGGCTGAAGTTTAGCAAAGATAAAATGAAAACACGAGAAAAAAAAACCCCAGGAAAAGTGAGAAAAATGTATTAGAAGATGTCAATAAAAAAGGCACTTGTGGCACATTCAATACAGAGGGGAGTACTTCAAGGAAGCTTTTGTTTCTATTCTGCCAAAAAGAAATATGTATATAACCACTTATGTAATGTAAAAACTTCCAGTCATGACAAACTAATGACAGAAAAAGGAAACCATTCCAGTTAAATTCGTCCATTTCAAGTTACCATGCATTATTTTGAGATAATTTCAAACTCTTTTCAAAGCAAGAGTCTCTGTCCATCATTATGAACAGCATGTTTAGTTATATTTAGTGTTTAAGATCATTCAATTTTTCCACTGATGATTCCTGATCCAAACTCAAAAAAGAGAAGAATGAGTCGTTCTTAATGTTATTTTTAATTTCTGTCATATGCAGAAAATTAAATTTTTTTATGTAGCCAGTAAATGCATCAAAACAGCTTGTTTTTTTGTTGTATTTTGTACAGGTTTAAGCAAAATCAGATAAACAATAACTGATAAATGGTTAGATAAATGAATGATACATTAATGGAAACCTTTAGTTTTTGTTTGGATTTCTTTGCAGAATTTTTATCTTTTTCAGTTGAACCATTTCAATAAAAAAAAAAAATATCCAGTAGAATCTTTAATCTAAGATATGAAAGCAGTTTTTTTTAGACAGTTTATTCAGGTTTCTAATTTCTTAAAGAATTATCCTGACATAAGCATAAGAGGAAATACTTAATAAAGAAAAGTATTTTTTTTTGCTTATTTTAGCAATAGTTTCCTTATCTATTAAAATCATACAATCAATGTGTGAACAGGTGAATACTTTCTCAGAGTATCAAGTCACACCAAGGTCTACATTTTAGCTTATTTTGGTGATTTGAAATATTTCATTAATCAATATTTTATTTAGGAGATGTTAAATCTCTACATTGTTTCTAATAAGTTTTGTTCAGTGTGTTTCTGAGTCCCAGATGAACATTGCCTGCATTGGCATGCTAATTCCCTTAGCATGATGCATCAGGCCACCTGACCATTTGATCATGAGTTCACCAGAGGGATTTAAAAACAGGTACAACACCTAGAAATAGCTCAGGAGCAAACTATGTTTGATGCTGGTAAACAAATGACAGCCCCTTCTCAAACCCAGCGCACCACCTGTGGTGGAGAGCAGATGAGGCAGATTGTTACGGCCTCAACAAACAGAACTTTGTGTTTAGGCATATACATGTATTGTTTGGGACATTACGATTAAGATCTAAAGAAAGCGTCATCTCCTGGTCAGACCCTGTAATTCAGTGAAAGTGTGTAGTCAGAGTATAAACAATGCATGCCCAGGAGAAGACTAGTGGCTGGAAGTTGGATGGGATATTGCTTGGAGTTGCAGGGAAGTGGGCTGCCATTTGGTTGGCGTTTGCCTGAGAAGGGCCATTTTGTGGCTGCTTCTGTATTAATCTAAGATTGCTTCAATCAAATCTGTTCAGAATGGGAGGGACTTTCAGCAAAAACGTACAGGCTGTTTGGGCGAGCAACCTTCTAGTGCCCGCCACAGTTTGGTTTCAGCCAATCATGGTAACAATTTAAATAGCAGCAGACACCATGAAAAACCATGACAGCTTACACATGTACACTCTTGCTTTTACTTTTTCAGATGTGATAGCAGCAGCTGCTGTATGTGTGCATCCTCCTTTTCTGCCATGTTTATTTTGGCTTGGCTTTAGGCTCTGTATCTCCTGCCTCTGCTACATATATATATATATTCCACCTTAAATCATAGCACTGAAACATGATTGCCCAACCTATTTTGAGTCAGTCTCTAATCACTGAAGGGGGAGAAAAAATTCCAGATGCATTCTCCTGTGTTTGTGAATACACAAATAGCGCACAAATTAAAATGCAAGCGATGTTAGTTTCTCTTTAAGTTAGACCATTGAAAATTTTGGTAGGTTATCGCATTGGACTGATGCAGAGAGTTCAAGAAGATGATTAATTTCCCCATTCACATTTCCTTTCCTATGGTAGGATGAAAAACCTTTTGTAAAACAAAAAAATTGCCTCAGCTTATTCAAAGGAAGTCTGCTGTTATTTCACAAATGTCACATCAAGTAAATACAATTTTTGAATATGAATGACATTGCAAGATAGCATGATGAGAAAACATGGGATAATTTGGATCCATCATTAGCTCACAGTAGCTCATTTTAATCTGATAGATTGCAACTGAAAACTGACTCAGATTGCAGTAAAAGAACACATTTTACCCAAACAGACTCTCCACTCGGACAGACCACCGAAAATGTTGTCTGTGCCAGTGCTAATTACACAGTGTGTTGTTCTATGATGGAAAACACTAAATCAACATGAAACCAAGCTTGGTTCTTGATTGCATTATTTATGGTGTATTTTTTTCAACTTTCGAGACTCAGGGGCATCAAAGAAACATTTTTAAAGCTAAAAGAATTTTCATCTGTTTCCTTGAAATCCATGAGAAATAACTCAACCATGATCTCACTACCCTGATCTGTAGTTTCTTTTACTTTCATAGGCTCCAAAATTATGTAATTAGGAAATGAGATTTAAGAATATTTATATATTGGATCTATAAGTATGAAATTGGATTTAAAACAGCAGTAAATCCCCAGGTGATATAAAATGGATTGATATAAATTCTCAGTTCAAAAAATTCACCTAGTAAAAAAAAAGATTGCCTTAAAAATCGATTGGCTAAAAGATTCGAGAATAAAATTGGCTTAAAGGAAAAGCTTATTCCACCTGTGACATTGCTGCATCAAGTAACAGTTTCCTGTTTAGTTTGTACAGTCCTCTCTTTGTCACTCAATAAATTATCACAGTACCAAGAATGTGCGTCACACGCACATAGAGCCCTTTACAGAGTCCTTGTAGGGGAGTTTGGACTGTCCTACATAGTCTTTCGTCACAGACATACACCCCTCCAGTCCTTCTCTACTGCTGAGCGTCACTCTGTCATAGAGGAGGTCAGAGAGGTCCGTTTACAGAGCGTCCTGTCCTGCTGCTTCGGGGAAAGCGATGGACTTTGAGGTGTTTCGACAGGTGATCACTACGGGCAAACTTCTTCTCACAGACGATGCACTGATATGGCTTTACCCCAGAGTGGGAGCGGCGGTGCCTGGATAGCTCGTCAGACCGGGAGAATCTGTGGGAAAGAAACCAAGGAAATTCTAAATTAGGTCCATCACATATTAAACATTTTTGCAAACCTTAGTTTGATATTTGATTTAGATTTATAAAATGTTTCATTTATCTCTGGATTTGACAAAAAATATTATTTTGTTTCCTGCACAATGCCTTTCCTAAAAAGAAAAAAAAAAAGAATGAAGTCATTAACTTCATGCAGCCCAATGAGATAAAAAGTTATGTCAAGCTGTTTAGAAGAGGTAATCTGAGAAGTAACTTTTCAAGCAACCTCTCGCTGAAGTTAAAGAGACATCCTGTATATAGCCCAACAGATGGGCCCAGTCAACCCATGCCAGGTCTATTCTTGGCCTGATCTGCCATGGTCTCTATGGGCTCCAGCGAAGCTGCCCTGACAGTGAAAGGGTTAAGTAGATGACAGAGCAGTGCCTCTACACCTACATGCGCATCTGTACATGTTGATAAAGCTGTTAAGATCAAATTAATCTGTAACACAGATCAGTTTCATAACGGCAGCATCCAGCTGCAGACACAGAGGTGATTATTTACAGAAGTGTACAAACATTACTCACAGTTATCCATGCCTCTTTTCACTCCACACATGCATTACACAAATGTTCGACTAGTTGCTAGAAGAACCTAAACATTTCAAAAACCTAACCCTGCTTGACATTGACTTGTTTCTCTAATTCTCCAACAATTCACTGGTCAACATTGTACCCAAGGTCACTCTGCTACAAATTGTCAAGAGGCTGCAGCTATCGAACGATTATGCATCTGCCTCGCGTTTCACAATCATTGCAACATGTGCAAAATGTTTTGATTAAAAGTCCATTATCACTTTCCAACACATCTGACAAATTGCCCATCATCTAAATCCGGCAATCAACAGGTATTTCACATCATTACCAAATGAGCCTTCAAATAGATGTAAAAGTTTGGAAATAGCAATTTAATTTACATCCATGATGATGCTCAAAAAAATGCAAAAGTACTGCTGCATATTATTGCATGATATTGCAATAAAGACAAGATAAAAGTATCACGTGATCTCCCACTATGCCAGTGGTTCCCAGACTTTTCCCTCTGTGCAGATGCTCTGTCAACTCTTATTTATATTTAATCACCTTTGCATGCTGACTGTTTAGACTGGCCCCTACTAGTGGCATCTCAACTCACTTTTATATTAATTCAGGAAATAATTGAAAAACAGACATGAATACATACATAATCAGTCGTAGATACATAATAGCTGCACAATATCAACATGAAAAATCAGACATTACCACCAGAGCAACAACAATGTTTATCATCCTAAGTTACTCCCTTTGGAATATAGAGCATTTCATTCCGTTGAACACACAATAAACGAGGCCCATTCAAATCGAGGTATATACACCAAAGGCATGACCAAATTGGACTTTCTATACTTCCTCATATTACAACCACGCAAATATGTTTTGAATGCACCACGACAGATAAGCTAGATTGGAAGCCATGGATCTGGAGCTTTACACCAAAATACACTTCAGCCGACATTATACTGGATGTAACACAATTTTAACAAATTCTAGGCAAAACACAATTTCTTATATGACATAACTTATTCGCAACTTAAACGGTTAAGATGGAATAACTCTCAAATCTCCAGTTCCTGAAGAAAATCTTATTTAAGATTCACTGATTGGGAAAACAGCTCATTGGTAAGTATTTGTGCTAAAAGTTGGAGTAAGCAGCAATGTTTTCATTCCAGAAAGAAAAAAAAGATTATGTTCATTTCAGGGTATTCAGGTGGTTTGTTCCTGAGTTAGCAGCATGAAAACCTTTTTTGGTTTTTGAGAGGTTGACAGGACTCATATTTAATAGATGACATTAAAACATACTTCAGCCTAGGACCTAACCTCCTTTATAAACCAATAGCCAAACTTTAAAGTCTGTCGTTTTTCTAAATGAATAACTAGAATAAACATAAAAAGGCAAAGTTCAAGGTCAGAAGGCAGAGACAGACGTTTATTCTGCTTAGTTTGTGGAGCGCCACTAAGCTTTACTAGTTTGTTTTAAACTCCTATTACAGAATTTATCTCTCTCTAAACGGTTATTCCATCAGAAACAAAAAAGGCTGGATTTAGGGGGTCAGTTTTTAGTCCCTCTTAATAGAGGGACTAAAAATAAAAAAATAAAACGAAACCAAACTGAAAACTGAAGTAGTGTAGACATGCAAGTCTAAATGGCAAACTAAAAACTGGATGAAATTTCACAGGTTTTATGCGATCAGCTGGTTTAAGGTACTAAGTAGCTATTTGGTTTCTTTGACTCACAAATAGCTAATAATGTAGAAATGACAAAGCACAACAGCTTTCATGTTTTACTTTAGTGTAGTGTCAAAATCTATCAAGAATAAATGATAGGTGACACATTGGGACCATGACCTGGTAGATCCAAATTTGTAAGTGAAAATAATGTGATAGAGCTTCTCTTTGTGCACTCTACAAAAATGCATTTTCCACGTCTTGCAGCTTCCCTGCTTGCTTTACACATCAGCAGCATCCTTCCATGATGATCCTGTCACATCTGTGTCATAATGTAGATCGTGCCAGACTCCTGCTACAGTGGGCCTTTGACAAAAGTCTCCATAGGTGTCTTCATAAAGTGTGTAGCTACATAAAAGAGGTTTGTAATAGTTTAGTAGCCTGACTGTCTCACCGACTTACAAAATATGGACTAAACCTGATTTAGCGTAAAAAATTTTAAGCTATATAGGGACCAGTAAGACATAGAAATGTGTATAAGTAGTATAAACAACTACTTTGGTAATGCTTTGCTCATTTCACATAATTATTAGTTGAGCACTGATAAATAAAACCCTCCCCTGATCAAAGTATGAAAGAAAGAGTTGTGTTCCACTGATTAAGTGTTCCTGGAAGTTGGAGCACAGCTATTCACTCTTGTCTGCTGTAATTTTGGTTTCCACACCCAAAAAACATGCAGAGTGTTACAAGATGTTCTTTAAAACCAAACACAGCAGGACTGTGTCTATATTATGATTTTCTTTTACAATCCATCAAATCATGACATTGACTTCTGACAGCATTATACCTATAACTTTACAGTGAACACTGTGATGATCGACATTTCTTTTTTAGTCCTCCATCTCAAATGCAAAGTTGGCGCTTCCGGTCCCATATATGTTTACTTCTACCTTCTGGTGTTGCATTCCAAGTTGCCCACACAGAGTTAACCACTGACTAACCAGTGGTTGCTTGCATATTTTTATAAGCACAAACTGTAGGACATATTGGCTGTGAGCATAATCCCATAGAGTAGATTGTCTATTTGCTCTGGTTTACTGATCTAAAATCAAAGGGCATCCTTAAATTGTCAATGCAAGTTTCAGAATTTATGTATCTTGACTACATATAGATAAAATATACATTCAGTATTATTATAAAAGTATAGCCTTCGTGGAAAATTAGAGACAGAGTGTCTGTAATTTTGCAGGCTATTAATAATGTATTGAATTCAATTCAGTTTATTTATATAGCGCCATTTCGCAACACATGTCATCTCAAGGCACTTTATAGTTCAACCAGATCATACAGTCAAATTGATTCAAAGTTTTCTATCTAAGGAAAACCAGTTGATTGCATCGACTCATTGACTCAAAGGTAATCCCTCACACTAAGCGTCTTGTAGCGACAGTGGAGAGGAAAAACTTCCTTTTAACAGGAAGAAACCTCAAGCAGAACCAGACTCAGTGTGAGCGGCCATTTGCCAAGGCCGACTGGGGTTCGGACATCTATGCATGGTCATTATTGTACCCACAAAATGGTAACCGTAGCTCGTGTTTGAAATATTTTTGACTAAGATGCTTTTTAATGGGGTGTTCGGGTGGTAACGTGTCTTTAAATTATTGTGCTTGATATAACAGATATTTTTTTCCATCCATCCATCCATTAGCTGACACGCTTGTCCCATTTGGGGTCGCGAGGGGTGCTGGTGAGCTGTCAACGGGCGAGAGGTACCGGTACACCCTGGAGAGGTTGCCAGTCCATCGCAGGGCAACACAGAGACAAACAGGACATACAACCATTCACGCACACACTCACACCTAAGGAGAATCTAGAGAAGCCATTTAACTTAACAGTCATGTTTTTAAACTGTGGGAGGAAGCCGGATTACCTGGAGAGAACCCAGGCATGCAAGGGGAGAACATGCAAACTCCATGCAGAAAGACCCCGGGCCGGGAATCAAACCCAGAACCTTCTTGCTGCACGGAAACAGTGCTACCCACTGCGTCACTGAGCAGCCCCAGATATTTTTTCATTGTGCCCTATATATTCTATTCAGACTGGAAAGGATTAAGTAAATGATTTCTACCTAAGACAAAAAAATAATGAATGTAAGTGAATGTAACAAGCTTACTGTGATGAAAATCAAAAGCTTCTGTATGTAGAGCACAGTATCTGTAAATAGCGTACTTCACATTTGTTTACGTTTACCCTTGGCTAACATACACGCATATATAAAAACCCTGGAGCAGCACAGAGCCCACTTCAAGCAGGGGCATGAGGGAAACCATGTGCAGCCCCTTGACATACTAACATGAGGCCTGAGTCCAAGTATAACCCACTTACAGGGGGGTGGATTTAAGTAAATATGAAAGACTCATATGTTTCTGATTTTTAGTTGGAGGGATCATGTGGATGCAGTTGTATGATCTTCCTACAAATTTTGTTCAAAATAATACATAATAATATTTTTACTGTGGAGGTTTTTACTTCTGCTATCTGTAAATTTCAGGGTTTAGGGCCAAGGTCGGTGAGTTTATGGCTGCATGCATGAAGGGCACTTCTGTTGATCAACTAAATGTGTTTTTCACTTTTAATTGTGGGTTGAAGTACTGGAGGCAGCTTGGCGTGGCTGCTAAAAGACACAACATACACAGAGTTGTGAATGCTGTGGGAAACACATATGCAGGCATCTGTTGCAGCTTGTTCTTAAAGTAAACGCTGCAGCTAAAAGAACATAAAACCAGCACCGAAGTTGGGGCAGTAAATCTGGTTGCATTTGCAGAACGAATGGCATTCATAAGTGTACAAAGGGACTTATTAATGAAAAATGGTCCCTCCTTTTTTTGCATGTTGCCCTACATCTGAGTATAAATCAAATGCTGAATCAAAGTCTAGTGAATCTGTCACTACCTCATGTTGTGTTGTTGTGATCTTAGATGAATCAGCTCAAAAACACACCAAACCAGAACCCAGATGACAACTGACAAGTATACACACGCCGTCGTGTTTCTACATCAAACTCTGATGTGACGCCTGGCCGCTGAGAATAAAACACTGCGTCTTCTAGCAGGTGGAAACTGAAAATACTGTGAGCTCACATATACTGCCACCTGTATGCAACCCAGTGCTCACATGTGATCATCAACACATCCAGATCTGTTTATGACCAACAGCAAGACAGACTGAAACAGCTAAACATCATAACAAATATTTTGAATGAGTAAAATGTTGGACGCCAGCCAATGAAATGCCGTTTCTCTCTACTTCACAGGGGGTAAACACACTCCTCTAAAGTTACAAGGCTCAGAGTTCCTGTCTTACTAGTTTATGTTCATTTCCTGTTCCAGCAGGAAATTGGCAGTGAAGGGACAACTTTATGATACAGTAAATTGTTGCAGTCACGTAAAACGCTGACAAGAGGCCATTTTTAGTGAACAACAGTTCCCCTGCTGTTCACTAGAAACACATTGACCTGAATTTGTTTAAATGTATACAACCACCAGGACACAAAGAGATATTTTTTTTGGTTACAGATGTATGCTTCTTTCCATAATATTTAGAAATGTATTATTCTTGAATAAGACTTAGTCTGGTCAGAAAAGATGTAAGGAAGGTACTGTACAGGACCAAGCAACAATATGCTCTAGCATTTGTCATTTAACAACCATACAGATTGGAAGATGGATTGGAGGTTTAGTTAATAAACCAACACAGAGCAATTTATCGTTACATAGTGGAGGATGAATGGAGCAAAGATATCCAAACTTATTAAGTCATAAAAACAAAAAAATCTTGCCTCAGCTAAAGTCTGCAGACTGCATAAATAGGCCAAGCAAGAACTACAATTATCAAAGTCCATAAGGTGCTTCATCAGCTCTGGTAGGCAGAAAAAATAAAATGTAATCACTTCAAAATACTTCCTGCCTATTCTGTGTACCAATACTGTCCTGGAAGATTTTTGTTATAATTAATTCAAAATTTCTTAAAATCGTTAACAAATACAATTATAGAAAAAATCAAGACATAGTCTAGAGACTACTATAGACTAAGGCTTTCTCTCTCCAGGAATGTTCCATCAATGTCACATGCTCATACAAAAAGATGGCGGAGGTTCACAACAAAGGAATGCTGACAGATGTGATCACTTTACTCATATTCAAACATTGTGTGCTTGGATTAATGGAGAGATAAAGGTGCTTAAAGCAGTCTATTTGCTACAGATAAATGCTTTGTTTTTCACTGAGCCAAGCAGTGTGGTCTCTCTCATAAAATCAGGGACAATGCCGTTGGGTTTTACTTGGCTGATGTGTGATATTAACAGATAAAAATGCTCATCTTAACTCATCCTTCCACAGAGCAGAGGACAATTTCCTCTGTTGCTGTAACTATAGCATGTTTTCTACCACAGCAGGAAGTTGTACGTGCACGCATGAGCTTGCCAATGTAACACAGGAGAAAAATAATGTTTTTTTTGCTAAAAAGATGTCAGTTAAGGAAAAGGTCAAACAAGGATGAACACAGGCATCATGTTTCCATGGTACAGTTGAGGCATGTGGGTTAATTGTTGAAGGCTGACCAGCGATGGACCTGATAAGCGTAAAGCGAGTAGCCAGTAACCCGGCTAACACAGTTGGTGTTGGTTAAAGCAGAGGGGTGGGATTGCGAGCAGCCGACTGTGATCCTCACACACGAACAGCATTTTCTCTTTTTGACAAATAATCTAAAATTGATACAGATAGCTGGTGCTTAGATGTTCTGATTCAGTGTCATTATGCTGAGTCTTTACACTGGCAGTAAGTTGAGAGTGTTGTCTCAAGACAAGTGAAACAATATCACAATGTACATCAAAATAAATACAAATGAATACAAAATAGAGAGTAGTATGTTATTTTACAAGCTAAATGTAGTGTAGTCTGTCTGAACTTCAAAAGGGGAATCTATTATTATTATTGTTATACATTTTTTATTAACTTTTATGATCAAGTTATCCATTGTGTCCTGTTGCTGAGAATAAGAGAATGTTGTATTAAAATGTATTGTTGTTTTGGTCCACAGAATGCTCAACAGCACACCTTGTGGTCAGAATTTGCTTATGCACCTTTAAATTTAATAGAACATATTTTGGTGAACCTTTTACCATTGTTCTATAGTCTATTAAATTTGAGATAATATCTCAGGAAAATCCATTTAGGTTTGAGGGTGTAACTGTCAAAACTGTCTATTTAAACAATATTTCTACACGAAAACCATTTGCACATGCTTTTTAATTTTATTGCAGTGCATTTGTCTTTTGACATCCTTAACATTCAGATTTTAGGAATCCAAGAAACCTTTTTATGGACTTGCCCAAGCTGAGCCACAGATAGAGAAACACATGAATGTTAGCTTTACCTTTTGCTCTTTTTAAAAATTTTCTTAACTCTGAACATATCAATTGATATGATAACCAAAATAATTACTTTTGCCTGAACTCAGCCCTGCCAGTAGTGTTGCTGATACACAACCTTGAGCCATAAGTGCAGCTTTAGAGGTTGAATGAATTGACTGGCAGGTCAGAAGTTGCCATCTGTATTTAACCCAAAGAGCTAAAAACAAGATGTTTATCTTTACAGTACATGAATTGAGGCATTGATTAACTCAAAGAAAACCATTTAGAACCAGATTGTGGCAAGTATGAGTTTGCAAATGTGTTAAAAAGTTATGTCATGCACAAAACATACACTTATCTTCTTAAAAAATTAGTCTTTTCGTTGCAAAAATGTGTGTTTAGTGGTAGTGGACAGTGAGCAAACAGGTGGAATAACTAACAGGGGACAAAGTCTGCATATGGATGACTTCAAAGGTGCCCCTATCTAATCTAGAACTTTACCATGGTTCAAAAACACACTGATAGCAGGGGACAGACACAGCTTGCAGAAAAGAACAAACTGTAATCATAAATGAACAGTCCAGTCCAATTCCTTCTTAAATTACCCTCCTGATTTAAATGGAGTTGTTACTATTATAAAATTTTTTCAGTTTGAAACAATATGTTTTTTATTCTATCCACCCTGCATGGGAGAGTTTTTTTCTGAGAAGGATGGCAAACTGCCAGTGCATTAAAAAGGATAGCAGAACAGGAAAACAGTTTGTCATTCCTTATCTATATTACTTTGCAAAATAGGGCACTTTTGATATGCTTGTTTTTAACATCAATCATTGAGTAGCACGTTATCAACAGATGTAGCTGAGTCAATCTACAGTATATGGACCCACATGTATAGCCTTAATTACTGTATATACAGCAGTGTAGAACTATAAAGTTATGGAACAAATGATTATTGTTGTAGCATCTTTACTTGAGTTCAAGCTCTAAAAGCTCTATGTGTCTTCTAGTGGAGTTCCAAATAGAATTGGGCAGCGTGAAACTTTACCATACAGAGTGGCTGGTAAACGCTGTGCAGCTTGGCATGAGTGGTATCTTTGCCAATCTTGACAGGATTTGTGGCTAGGCATTATATTTAAGCATCACAAAGCCTATTCCCTATTAATCTTTCAGTGTAATTATACCCCTGTCTCAATGTGTTTTGGTTGTTTATCAATGTGTTCTAATATATGGACTTTTTGTGGGCTCACCTCCATCCACAGCCAGGCCACGTGCATGCAAAGGGCTTCTCCCCTGTGTGTCTTCTTAGATGTGCTTTAAGGTGGCTGCTCTTGGTGTACATCTTATTACAGCCAGGAAATGAACACTTGTGCATTTTAATGAGGTCTGCCACTGTGCTCTTCTGATATCGTTGACCTCCACCAAGGACACCTGTTGCTGAACCCCCGAGGCCTAATCCCCCTTCCCCGAGCCCATTGGGTTTGGCTGCAATGGGCACCGGTGCAATCCGGACAAATTTGGACGGTGCTGCAATTCCTGGTTTGCCAGAGTTAGCTGTTGTAGGTGAAAGCAACTGAGGTACTAAAGCAAATGTCTGCCCTTGGATGTTGACCAGGAGCTGGGCAATTTTGATTGACGATGGGGACTCAGTTGGTTGGGAATGGGTTTTCTGTGACTGATGAGGGGCAGTGTCTAATACAGCACTGGAATTTGGTTCTTGTTTGACCTGTATGGGCTGGATTTGGAGAATGACAGGCACACTTGAGGCAGTGGTAGCACTTTCTGATAAAGGTGTCAGCGATCCACAGTCTTCCTGCTTGATCCCATCAACACAAGTGTCAGTGGAAGTAGCTACACATCTATTACCATCAGTCACTGGTAAGCCATCTGTACCTGATGCACATGCTGCATGCCTGGCCTTTGAATTGGAGGCCACAGGCACAGTCTGATCTAAGTGTTGTGATGGTGACTTAAGATCTCCTGCGAGTGTCACTGAACCTTCAGGCTCATTGTCATCTGATATAGACATGGGAGGTGACATTTCTTCATCGCTACCATTCTCTTCATTTTCCATTGCCACCATCATGTTCTCTTCTAAGAACTCCTCAATCTCCTCTAGAGTTGGCTGAAAGAGGAGTGCTTCAGGATCCTGGAGCTCATCGAGGAAGACTGGAAACTCGAAACACTCCTCTTTTGCCAGCTGTTGCTGAGCACCAAGACGCTGTTCCCTCTTGGGCTCCCATGCTGGGCCCATTGTCAAAAAAGGAGATTTTGGAGATGATGAGGTGGAGGAGGCTGGTGATGAGAAGGGAATGGATGAGGATACGGAAATATTGCCACTACTGGAGCTCAATGAGGTGGTAATTGAGGCCTGTGAGAGAAGGAGGTCCAAAAGGCTCTCTTGATTGTCTTCAACTGATGAGTTGGAACACCCACTACTCCTGCTGTCCCTGCTATCGTAGCTAGAGCTGAGGATGTTCCGTGATGCTGATGGCATGAACTCAGGGCTGGAGCAGAGGGAGGAACGAGGGCTTGATGGGTCACTGAGGTCATCTTCCGAGAGACATGGTGAGGAAGAGAGCGTCAAACCTTGGTAAGGGTGGTGCTGATAGGTGCATGCATCCGTCACCATGATGCCCTGTGCAACACCACCCTTGGTGTGGTGAGAGGCGGAACTGTAGTCAGACCCTTGAGAGCAGGAATAATACAGGAAGGTCTCCTCACCAAGTGGCAAGTGATCCACCATTCCTGTGCGGATAAATAGCTGCTAAATTTGCTGGGCTCTGATGATCAAGCTGTTGATGAGACTTCTTTTCCCTTTTTCTGTAAAATAAAATTATTCAAAATTAGTTTTTTTAGGATTCAGTACCAAGGATTCCAAAAAGGATCAGAGCTGCACACATTTCAACACTTAAGTTGCACCCAATATCAGGTACAATGTTAGTTCATCTGAGGGTCCAATTTGACAACAGCTGACAGTTTAACTGGAGTTTAGATATACTAGTTTTAGCTAGGCTTGAGTTATTCTTTCCCCTGCAGAAACACTGACTGTGGTAATACTGACCCCAGCTGAATGATTAATGTTCACACGGTAGTCCCTTTGGGGTCCTTAAATGCACAGTAAACCACCAGACTGAAAATCATTATACATTTTTTGTCCTTGTCAACTACCTGCTGCTTGTTTAAGAGCTTTGCAAACTCCTGGCACTTCAAAAGGAAAGTCGACCACATGTGAGGGAAGAGGAATGTGTGTGTTTGGGGGAGTGAGTGCGTGTACGCGTGTGTGTGCGTAGAATTTGCAGCTGCTGGTTCAGGCTTCAAGCTGACCATGTGGAGTTGGGCACTCTTCTTTCCTCGACACTTTTAAGATTAATGCCACATGTCCGTTGAACAGTGAGTTCCTATTTATCTCCTCTTGTGGTCATTAATTTTTCCTAACCTGAGCAAAAAAAGATATTCCAGAAGTGTTTAGAATGTGATTAGAATGAAATATATAATCTATAGACATCCTGTAGACTAGCCGAGAAGTGCATTTCTATGTCAGGATAAATAATATTTCAGGAGATTGAATCATAAACAAAGGATTTATTTTCTATTTTTATGCATTGGCAGCTCAGGAACAATCCACTGCTGCTGGATTTATGTGGATTAAAAATACAAGACAGCAGATGGCTTAGGAGGGAATGAGTTGCCTCAGTGTTGAAGCATGTGTCTAAAATCCATAGCAATTCCTAAAAAGCGTTGGATAACTGAAATGACTGGGCTCTCTCTTCTGTTTTAAGAAATAAGCTATTCTCAAAGAAAAGACAAATCTTCTGAGTTTCCACATGCTGCAAGTGCAGTCAGATGTTTAATTGAGTTGCCTGATACAACCAAACAGTGCTTTACTCAAATAAATCTGTAATAATTTACACCTTTAGTAAAACTGGATCACATGTGATGGGTGACATCGTATTACATGGCCTAGCGGGTGGGTTGGGGGTTGGGGTCTGCAGCTGCAGCTATACCTCATGCAATGAAAAAAAGTTTAGGAGGAGAGACGACACCTCACGTTGGGCAAGTCTGAAGTCATTTGTCCTGCAGTAACCCTGCTGCCGTACAACATCAAAAACTTTTGAAAGCTGAATGTTCCCTTAAACTGCAAAAGTAAACTTTAACCTGAATTCCTGGCATATTTAATGCTGCAGTCTTAGACTGCAAGTACAACCACAATCTCAGTTGAGCTAAGGGCTTAATAAAAGCTCAGATAGTTGTCATTGTTCTTTGTTGCTTTTGTAATCATACAGATAACTTATAGATCATAGAGGGAGTTTGCTTATGTTTTAGAGATAACCAGGAGTTCTATTTACTCATTACTGCATTTGAGAGCATGCATTGTTGGTTAAAAGCAAATTGAGCTCACCTGTCAAAGCAAGGAAACTAGACCAGCTCCTTTACACCATGCACTCCAGTCCTGGATGTGGGTTTCTGTGCGTAACTGAGCGCATTTGGCAGTGACACTCTAACTTTGCTCTTTGCCTATCCTTATGCCTCTCCCTCCCTCTCTCTCTCTGTCTCTCTCACCCTCCCTCTCTCCCTCTATCCCTATCTAACACACACACACACACTCACACACATTTACGCACTCTCTCACTTTAAATGACTTGTATTGCTTAAACCATCACATGATCACAGGCTGGGAACCCGTCAAATCAGGGGATTGGTCCTGTGAAGGCTCGCCTGCTTGAAGCATTATGATTGGCTAAGAACAAAGAGACACAAGCCTTACCAGTAGCCATAGGAAGGTGGTGTAGTAGAAAGAATGTGTGAAAACTGGTTTACACCATAAATCATTTAAAGGTCTTCATTCTAGCCTCAAAGATTCTAGATGAGACATGTACAACACGTTACAGCACTTTACTAAAACGTGTTTGCCTGTGTAAACACATCCAACTTTTGAGGGATTGTACAGTTAAGCTCAGTGTACAGTAACAGTTTGTTTGTCAAAGTTAAGCGATCTGGAAACTCCTCAAGTTTCTGATTCTTTATGTGGAAAGTGAGCTGGATTTAAATACTAGGTTACCTAGAAAGCAAAAGTATTTTATGTCCCTGCAGCAAACAGGAAACAGGTTTCAGGGAAGGTAAACTAACAGAAAATTTAAGCAGATCCTGTGCACTTTCGATATTTTTTGCTACTAGTACTTTTTGTGTAATAGACCAAAATGAAGTACTGCATTGTTGTGTAAAAATTAAAAGATAGATGTGTTTATATACATACATATATATCTGAAAGATATGGTGTTATATGGAGCTTATGATAAATTCACCCCCTTCACTCGGTTATACACCCATACTCATAATAAAATGCAGCCAATTGTATTCGGAAGTGGAGGGGGGTTAAAGCAACGTTAGTTTATAAAGAAATACATTAAGTGCTTCATTTCACAGACACAGTCTAATAAAATAGAAAGGGTATGAAACAACTGAACTCCTACCAAATCATGGGTTCTCCCTTGGTGGACGGGCAACTGCATTCATCAGATAAGCAATGCAATTCAGATTATTTCGAACGGTCCAATTTTGTAGAAGTAATCAGTGAGAAATAGAAATTCACCAAAACAAAAAGTAATAAAAATAAAAGAATCGATCAACAAAAAAAATAAATGAATGTGGTTTAGGCATGTTCTTGTTATTAAGCGGCCTAACCAAGCAGTGCACCAAAAGCTAAAACAAGTGGGCTGTGTCCGAACGTCCACCCTAATCACTGTTTAGAGCGCTACGGTATATAGAGGAAATGCTTAGAAGAAATCAATGCCTGGATGTGCCATAATTTTCTTCAACTGAATAAAAACAAAACTGAAGTAATAATCTTTGGACCAATAGAGGAGAGATCTAAAGTTAGCACACAGCTTCAGTCGCTTCAGCTAGTAACCACTGATCAGGCCCGAAGTCTAGGTGTAGTGCTGGATTCAGACTTGAACCTCCAAAAGCATTTAAAGACAATTACAAGGTCGGCTTTCTATCACCTGAAGAACATTTCCAGGATTAAAGGACTAATGTCTCAGCATGATCTGGAAAAACTAATCCATGCGTTTATTTTTAGTCGAATTGATTACTGCAACGGTGTTTTCACAGGTCTGCCTAAAAAGTGGATCAGACAGCTGCAGCTGATCCAGAACGCTGTTGCCCGTGTCCTCACTAAGACTAAGAAAGTAGAGCACATCACCCTAGTTCTAAAGTCCTTACACTGGCTCCCTGTATCTCAGAGAATAGACTTTAAAATACTTCTGTTAGTCTATAAATCTCTGAATGGCTTAGCACCTAAATACATCACAGACTTGCTATCAGTGTATCAACCCTCCAGACCACTCAGGTCTTCTGGCTCCAGCCTGCTCTGCATACCTAGAACCAGAACTAAACATGGAGAAGCAGCATTTAGCTCCTATGCTCCACTTATCTGGAACAAACTTCCAGAAAACTGTAAAAGTGCGGAAAGCCTGAGTTCCTTTAAATCAAGACTAAAAACACATTTGTTTAGGATTGCCTTCGACTGTTCTAGTTAAACAGTTCAACAAAAACATGTTTTCTTTAATCCAACTGTTTTTAATATTCTTTTTTTGTTTCTGCATTTTTTATTTTATTTTATTTGTTTTTTATTTTTTCCTACTTGCTTTGATTCTGTTTTATCTTCCTGTATTTTAATCATGTAAAGCACTTTGCATTGTCTTTGTACTGAATTGTGCTATACAAATAAATTTGCCTTGCCTTGCCTTGCCTAGAGCACAGTGGTTACACCCTCGTAAAATGTCCGAATGTCTAGTATATGAAAAAGTAGTGGACCCTAAATTTCCCATAATGCTCCTTGAAAAGTATCCATGCTCACTAAATGAGCAGGTATATCCCAGATTGCTTTGCAACAGCCCTCCTCCAAAAGTATCATTGGATTTGTTGTCGCGGTGACAGATAAGAAAGACAGCGCAGGCCCCATGCGGGGGGGTGGAGTTGGATATATGTTGTTTATAAGGTATACAAACAGAATCACTTTCCCATTGCTGAGGACCTCAAACCTGTCTTTTTACCCCAATTTCAGTTCTATCAAGTTTAGAATTAGTGCTTTGCCTATTTCCCCTTCTGCCACTGTTAAATTATTATTTACCCAAATATTTAAAAGTCAAACTACTGTTGCTGCTTTACACAGATTTTACTTTTGGACAGCATGCATATCTTGTTACCTTAACTAGTCCTAACTATTCTTTAAACACTTAAGGAATATGAACTAGCATTTTCCGGTCGCTATTGTTGTCCCATCTTATAGTATTTTGTTTTTGTCTGTACAGTGGTTACTAAGAAATTGTGTTTGCATGTCAATAAGAAGACAACATAAAAATAAAGCAAATGAGTGATATCAATAGAGAGGGGTAAAAAGACCCCTCAATTATTAATTAGTTTCTTTTGAAACTTGCTGGCTTCGCTCTTTCCAGCTTTTACTTTTTGGAAATAATTTGCTAAAAGCAACACAAGGACCTGGGCGAATAAAAGTAGGCGCTCAGCCCTATGAAGTGCAAGCTGCATAGGACTGCTCTTCTTCTCTACAAAAAATTGTTTGTAACAATTACAAACCTACCTACTACTGCTTAAATTTTTTGTTAAACAATCTGCAGAATTTTTTTTTCCTTTATGTTGTCTTCTTTTTTTCACAATGCTAGGTCTCTAAAGCGCAGGTTGCAAACTTTCCTGCATGAGAACAGATCTGAATGCAGTACTTGTTTCAAAGAGAAGGCATTCATTCACCTGGAAACCTGCAGATCTACTGCATCGACACCAAAAAATTGAAATAATTGCTCAGCAGTCAGACTGATGATGCTGCCTGCACCATCGTGGATGCATATTTAACATGGTTCAAGTTACCTATTCATATACAATATAAAAAGTAAGATGCACTATTGCGAACAGCGCAATATTCAGTTGCACAATTCTAAAAATTAAGTGTTCCCTTTTGCCTATGCATTTTACAGTGTGAAATTTACAGAGGATTGTTATACCCTCTGTATAAGGTAGGTTGGCATGCCACACGATTGAGGCCATGGAAGCATAACACATGCTTACAGGATTTACAGGAATCTGAATGGATTTTATAACATTGGTTAATGCCCTTTGAAGGTGCTTACAGTACACATCTGGGCTTATATTCTGTTATTTTTTGCCTTGAGTGATCACTCTTTAAATACACAGTTTGTCTTACTGAAAACTATTCTCAAACAGGACTTAAGATTTAATATGATTTAATCTAAGTTTAGCTGAGTAATAGTGAAAAAAATGTTACTGTGCTTTTGTTATATCCACTTTGGGGTCAGAATAATAGAAAAGGGCCATAAAAAACATCTCCTACTGGTTCCTAGACCTCAGTGATGTTTGTATTTTTGTGTCACATTCAGGGGGTTTCTATCTGATTGTGTCAGCATTTGATGCCAAATCCCTGTTTTCAAAGAACATCTGCACTTGTGCAACGATGTGTTCCATTTTATAAAGCCTGGCCTGTAAGAGGACTATCTTTCCAAATTATTATCTATATGGGCTATTATATGTACTGAAGTTGCTCTCCATTTTCTTCTCCTAACCTTCTGATTTTTTAAGATGTTTACTTTTATTCTGACCAATATGGAATTCTGCTTTAAGTAATTTGACTCTTTGGATATAGTAAAAAAAAAAAAAAAAAAAAAAAAAAAAAAGAAAACTTACATTTTATACTTATAGAACTGTTATATGAGTAGGTTCTATAACTAATGGATAAGGTTAAGCATCTTCTATTTTTAACCTAGATATTTTTAGGGTTTCAAACCCCTTTTCAAAATTGATAAAGATTATTCTTAACCATACCAGCTTTCAATAATAGCAGTTCCACTTCATGGGCTTTTGTAATCAATCTGTTAACAGTTGGTCCTCCAGCAATCACGTCACCCTTTAACTTTTTTATGTCTGTTTTCTTTTTTTACAGTTACTTTGGTCCTTTACTGTCTCAAGTGTGACCTAAGTGGGACATAGCTCGTATTTTGCAAATATTTTCTAAGGGTGAAATCTTGCAATGGAACTTCCTTTGTTCAAATGTAGGGTAAATATGAAACCTGTTAGCTGTCTAGTATTTCTATCAGAAACATGAATCCCAACAAAGGTAACAAGTCGAGTTAAATCTACAGAGAGGTAACCAGCTGCTAAATTTATGGGAGCTGCAGCAGTAAAGAGATATTCAGCTTAATCTTTTAGCAATGGTCTTTTCCTCACCAGCAAATTACAACTTGACTTATTTCATGTTACCCTTGTTGAGTATATTAGTAAATCCCCCTCTATGTAGGTTTGACTTGAGTCAAGGCTTATGCAAATATAGGATTTCCATCTTACATACTGTATATATTATTACCTTAGAGAAGCTGAGGTAGCATAAGAGCCTGATGAAGTCTGCAGAGGGTCTTTTATTTGGCAAACTTGCTCATTGATTCCGGCTGCTCTGTTCAACATCACAAACACCTTGACAGATGAATATTATGTAAGCCCAGATTGAGTAAAT